GAAGATTGGATATACGATAGAGAATTTTTACATAATCCTTATGAAGAATCTCATAAGTCTCTGTGGTCATACTATTTATAGATCTATATTCTTCAACTATAGGTACTATATAATAGTACCAAGCGTGAAATTTAGGAAGCTGAAGATCGTTTTGAGCAAATTTTGAAAATATTTCAACAAATTCTTGGGCCCAATCCAAAATGAAGATCTGTGAAATTAATTGTTAGTAATCTAATATTTTAAAAAAGCTACCATATTTTTATGTAATAACACCTATCTGTGTGTTATTTTGAGTCTATATGTGTTATTTAGAGTATACGCATATATGTTATTTTGAGACAAAGGCTAATTTTTTGATCAACCTGATTTTTAAAATAACGCATATATGCTTTATATATAAGTATTAGTGTAAAAAAAAACTGGTATGTATATACGTACATACGTATATATTTGTATCACTAAAAAAAAATAACAGATTGTTTTTCAACATTATGTTAAACCCGAATATTCCACACTCTCTTTCAAACTAGTACTATAATTATTGATATTAAAAGTCCCAAGTCAGCAATATAAGCAATATACAAATTATCTTGTAGGATATTGCCGCTATGTAAGTCTCAATAAATAAGATTTTGAGAATGAATTAATTGAAGATCAAAATGTAATAAAACTAATTTATTTTTCAATTTCATTATTGGTTCTTTGGGTCTTCAAAAACTGTATCTATTTTATAAGCAGATCTTTCTCTTTCAACTTTCATGCTCTATTATTATTCTGTACGTCTATAATACTTAATTGGTATATTACTTCGATCAATCACTCTGTTGAATTTATTAATTCAGCCTTTGGTCTTGGATCTTCTTGGAGTATGTCTAGAGTTTTTGCTTTAACAAAGCCTTTGGTCTTTTGTTTTCTAGCTTTTTTTTCTTTTTTTCTTTGGCCTTTCTTTTTTTCTTCTCATGTCTTGCTAACTCTAGCTTGGCTGATACTTTGAAATTTACAATCAAAGATCTTAATTCTATTTTGTTGTTTTGCTTTTGTCAAATTTTTCTTTGTTCCTAAAGTCTCTTGCTCCAGCCTGCTTCTAATTTCGACTTTATTTCAGCTTCTTGTTTTTTCTTTTGCATGATTTGTATCTTTTTTTCTTTTGCTTCTTTGATTTTTTCTTGGTTACGTAATATGCTGCTGCAGAAGACTTAACAGATTCTTTGAATTGTTATACTATAGATTTCAGTACTGTTTTGTTATGCTGTTTTAGTTAGTTACTTCTTTGTTCTTGGAGTCTCTTGCTCCAACCTAATTCTATTTTCACCTTTACTTTAGCAACTTGCTTTTCTCTATCTATTAGTCTCTTTCTTACTTCATCACCTAGTCTTACTTCTACCATGATACCATATATTTCTTCTTTTATAATGCAGTTAACCAGGTCTTCACCATCTTGCATTGCTTCATAAAAAGTCTTCTGACCTCTTTCTATAAATACAGGTGTTATATATTTTAGTTCTCCTCTGTTATACCACTATAGTTCTTCATAAAGCTCTTTTATTTGTTTATTAGCTAATTCTTTTAGAATAGGCTTCTGTCTAGTATATTTTGTCATTATTTCTTCTATAGTTTCATCTATATTTTCTTTAAATAATTCTGCTATTAGGGCCTAGATTTTCTTTAATACCACTTTCATCTTTTCAGATATTTCAACTTTCTTTCCTAGGTGCTCTATTAATATTTGCTTTATGTGACTTGTTTTTCTATTGTTATCAAAAGATGTTGTTTGCTACATATATTTAATAGCTTTGTTTACTTTCGACACATAGTTTTTGTTGTGTTTTTTTTGTTTACTTTTTATTACGTGTTGTGTTTTTGTATTACCAAAACAGATTTATGATTTAGGGTCAAGTCCCAATTCCTCAAAAATTTGTAAAATGCAAAAAAATATCAATGATTTTTCATAACTTTTTCTATTTCTTTGCTGGTTCTGCTTTCTCTACTCAAGTCTTCTAAGAGACTAAGTATTTTTTGTGGTTTTCTTTCTCTTTTCTTAGAGTTCTGAGTTTAGTTTTCTAGTAGTCTTGTATATTTTTTGTAGTTTTTGTAGTTTTGTTTTTTTCTGAATATTTGTATTTTGATGATTAGCAGAAAGAGTTATGCTGATCTTATTATAGTATTATAATATTATAGTATTATATATTATAGTATATAATATTTATAATAATTAGATACTATATATTTATATTTATTTATAAAAAATTTTTTTTAAAAAAATTCAAGTAGTGGGTCAAAAATTTTATTTTATATTATATAAACCAGGAAATTTTTTTTGTATAGTTCAATATTTTTATAAATTTTATAATTATATAAAATTAATATATTAAGAATAAAAAAAAACTAATTGTATACAGGGTGTTTGGTACACAGATCATGTGTATATAAAAAAGGAAATTAATAATTGTAACATAGTATTTAACACCTGAGCAACATAATGCGCTAGATAAGTTTTACTGATTAGCTTATAATTGTGTATGTAATGGTATTTATTACTAACAAGTTTATTTTATTTCGCATCTTTTGTCCTTTTTTTGTTGCAAACACGATATTTTAATATTGAAATGAGTAATTTTATTAATGATGATCAGAATAATCTTCAAGGTCCTAATGATCTTTATAACCAATTTTTGTATAATGCTTATAATCTTCAAAACCTCTAATATTCTTAAGATTTTGGTAACCCCTAAGGCTTTCAAGAACTAGACAATACTAAATATAATCAAGATAATCAAGGTTTTAATAATTAGCAAAATACTTCCTATATTCAACTTTTTCGAGACCTTTATTATTTTGACAAAAATTAGAAAGTTCAGAAAGTATGTAACTAGTTTCAAAGCGTTCTATATTCTGAAGTTCTTGACAATATTCACTTTTCATCTATTCAAGACCCCAACACACAAAATATTTATAATGCTTCTCAAGTTCAATTTTTCAATAATGACTTCAGTAATTGCTATGCTCAAAAACTATATAATTCTCTTTTAGATACTTTGTATATAGAAAATAATGTGAAAAATGTATATAATGAAGTAGCTAACTTATGTAAGGTGTCTGATGAAGAATTTCAGAATAATGTATTGAATAATGAATACTTAGAATTAGAGGCAGGACTTTCATTTTCAGATTGGCAGTCATTTAAGGCTTGGTTAGATTGTTTTGCATTACAAGAAAGTTTTAATTATAAGATTAGAACTAGCAAAAAGGATGAAAAAGATGGAGAAACAATTAGGCGAGCTAATTATGTGTGTTTAAAAGCTGGAGTATATCATTCCAAAGTGACTGCTGATCCAACTAAACGATATAACAATGTGTTTTAGCGAACGGGATGCCAATGGAAATTAAATATTATATATTCAAAAAAAATATCTATAGTAATAATCAATTTATTTAATAATACCTACAACTATTCCCTTACTTCTATGATTAAGGAAATTGCCCTTGGTTTTGTAAGTTGACCCTAAAATGCTGGCCAATATTGAAAAATATGTGGTTCAAGAAAGAATGAATTCAGGGTCAATATACTCTTTACTTAAACATGATTACCCCTTATACAAGCATGATTTATATAATACCATATATGTCTTTAGGCAAAAGAATAATCCAGAAGATTCAGATACTTTGTTAATGCTTTAAACATTATTAAACTAGAAGGAAGAAGATCCACTATAGATTGTAAAACTATACTTGGAATCTATATCTAGAAGATTGGTTTCACTATTCTAGATATTACCATCTCAAAGAAATTTATATGAAACTTTTCATGATATAGTAATAATAGATACTACTGCGAACACAAATCATTTTCAATTAATGCTCTTCATTATAACTGTAATCAATAACTATTTTAAAACACATATCATTGTATGTGGTATAATTGATGATGAAATATTAGATATATTTCAATAGATTTTGGAGGAGTTATTAGAAGAAACTGGTGTTATTCCAACAACTATATTTACAGATAGTGATCCTGCTATGATAAGTTTAATTAAAAATATATATCCCACTACCAACCATCTTTTGTGTATTTTTCATATCAACTTAAATCTTAAAAAAAATTTAAGACACAAATTAGGATTTTAGTTTGAAACATTTCGTTTAGATTTTTACATTTGTTATAATAGCTTATGTAAAAATTTTTTTAAAAGTAAATGGTTAAAACTGTTAAATAATTATCTCATGGCTGCAAATTACCTAAATACTCTTTATAGTTGTAAAAAATCATGGGCAACACCTTGGGTCAACAAAATATTTATAGCAGGCACACAAAGTACTCAAAGAATTAAGGCTATTAACATGCATATTCATCAAAAAGTTGATTGGGTCACTTTTTTGTGCAATCTACTTACTAGCCTTAATGATTATGTTATTCAAGATAAAGATTTAATTAAGTTTGAAATTCAACACAATTCACTTTCGATGACTGAATTATCACTACTATGCAATTAGTTTTTCTCAAAGATTAATGAAATTTTAAAACAATTTTTTACACCTATTATGCTTAGCAAACAAAAGGAACAAATGAATATAAGTATTTGCTATGATGTTGTATATATTGAAAAATGGCATGAATTAATTAAGATAAGCATCATGTTTATTTTTTTTTTTTTCCCTTAGAATTATACTATTTTAACATACTATTCTAATAGAGATACAAAGACAACAGTAATGTTGGACTTTGAATTAGGAAACAAGAACATAATATATACCAAATTTTATTTATATCATTGATACAAAATATTCTTTATGAAATTATTCTTCAAGTGTGGCATATGCGTTATACAGAAACCTCTGAACATGGGCATTATATGATACTACTTAATGATAGTACACATTTATACATCTGTCTTCTTTTAATAAATAAAGGATTAATTTGCTGACACTTTTTTTATGTTGATACATATTCTCTATTAGCTATATTTCATATAGCTCTTGTTTCAAATCGTTGGTATTTAAAACCAAATATTACATCAGATAATCTGTTTAAACAAATACCTGCAATACCTATTTTTATATCTGAGCAACAAGAGGTATCTGATGTTACATCACAATTAATACTGGAGTATCTAACTTCAATTCAGCAAAATTGTAAAACAACAACTAATCTAATTAAGGCAGGATATGCCAAATTATTCGGACTATCAAAAAAGTGGTTGATCTTGCATTCAAAGCTGATCTATATAATGAACTATGCAGCATTCTTAATACTTTTTTAATGATGCACAAAGTAAAGTAAATGTCAATCAAGAACACAATGAAAATATCAACAATTCAACTATAACAAGGTATAAGAAACGTTCTTCTAAAAGATTCAAATCAATTGTAGAAGTTTTAGAGAAAGGTAAGCGCTAGCTAAAAGATAATACATCACTTAATATAACTAATAAGGATTTAGAAACAGGCTCAAGTATCAAAGAAGCTATAAGCAATAGTAAGGGTCATAAATGTGGAAAATGTAAAAAGTATGGTCATTATGCCAAAATATGTAACTGGTTATAATTATAGATATAGGAATAATTTAATATTATTGAAGTTTTTATTTGTTGTCTTGTAATAAAACTTCAATTCTTTGTGAATTATTACTGTTTTCAAGTACTTTATTTCGTGAATTTATCATGTAACTTAATTAATCAAAAAAATTTAAAATTAAAGTTATTTGTTATTTGATCAATAACTTGAGATAGATATATTAAGTGCTAGTAAAGTGAATAGAGCTGTTATTATCATATGAGTTTTGTAAATAGTTAGGAACATTCTTTAAGAACTTTGTTTAAACTTAGCTAAGACTAAATATTAACTAGTTCTGTATTAACTAGTCTGTTTTTATTTTAGATTAACTAGAATGAGCTAAATAAACTCATTAATATTTCTAAAACCAAACAAGATTGCTGCTATAGATAAGTTTATATTGAGAAATAAATGTTTGCAAATAGCAAATTCATTTTAATAATTTAAGTAATTTGAATCATTAGATTTAGATCACTTTTGCTATTAAATCTATTAAATCTTCGATATATAGTACAATAATGATCAGCTCTGTTAGTTATAGAATACTATATATAATGATGATACTGATTTATGTAATCTTATTTATCATACAACCAGCATTATAAAAAGTTTGTGAATAGTTCTTAGACATAGTAGAAAGTAAATATTTAGTGTTAAGGTTAGTGTTTGAGTTAGCATTAGGTTTAGTATTAATGAGATTTTAGTAAGCTATAGAAATAATTATTCAATTGTGAATTAATTTATATATGTAAAATATGGAAGTATTTTGGCAATGTATAAGAACTGACTGAGAATCTTTTAAGGTTTGGAACCAGTTCTAAACATGTTTGTATATTAAAAATAAGCTAGTACTTAATTTTAATTTTTAAATAGTCATATGATTATATTTAATTAAAATAAATTTGTCGATCTATATTTGTACACTCCGTATACAAATAGAAATTGGTTTAAGAATATAGCAATTTAAAGTAGTAGTTAAGTTGTCACCTCTTAAGTAGCAGATTTAGAGTTCAAATTCTACCTATAATGAAATTTGAAAATATATCTATATTTTAGCAGTTGCTTTTGTTATATTAAATTAGATATCTGTAATTTAATTATACTAATTTGATTAGAAAATTAAGAATATCTATATTTTATAAGAGAATACAAACTAGTACTAGATAATACAAACTTATAATAAATTCTTTAGACATATATAAAAATTTGTAAAAATAGAAAGTTTTTTTATTTTTTATTTTTTTTTAATATTAAGATGAAGTCATGTCTTTGGTTTTTATTAATATATAGCTTTGATTATAATTACAATTACATATATATTAACTTACAAACTACAGAGACTTAGACTAATGTATACAAGTAAAATAATATTTAATAGAAATTACTTAATTGCTGCCAAATTTAACTCTATTAATAGTGTTATCACAGAACAGTTGTGAACAGTAAATTTAGATACTTTGGACAATTTTAAACAATTAAATAAATTATAATTACTCAAAATTTTATTAAAATAACCTATATTAATTTCTAAGTAAAATATATTCAGTATATAAAAAAATAAATAATTATATAGTTTTTAAACAAATTTATTAATTATTAAAGCTTGAACATGCTTTAAACACTTGTGGACATTTGAATACTTAGACATTAGACAGTACCAAAAAAGTTTTTAGACAATCAAAACATATAACACTGCCTATTAATATTCTATTGTTTATAGATTTTGGTACAAAAAGATATCAATAGAGTTATCAGATTATAAAATATTTAATAAATAGTAATTAAATAATTTAAATTAGTAAAAACTTTATTCAATATAAAATCAATTTGATAATAATTAAATAACCTTATTAATACCAAAATCTGTAGACAATAGGATATTAATAGAGTTAAATTTGATAGCAATTAGGTAATCCTTATTGAATATCATTTTACTTGTATTATCTATAACCTAAACCTACTAGAGTAGTCTATGCTCTATATATATATCACTTAGATTTGTACTTTCTGACTAACTGTTTTTAGTAACTACATATTCTCTCTATATTTTACTATTGCTAGTTATAATTTTTAATTTGGTATATCAAATATTTGCTCCTAATGAGCTCTCAATTTGGTGTATCTGCAAATACAATCTACTGCAAATCTCCTTCTAGATTCTATTAGTGCAACTGTAATTGGTATAGATAACCTTTTTACAGTTTCGTATTTCAAGCTAGAAACTTGCTATCTAGTTAGATTCGTCATATAACAGAGTTGATATTATATTGCCAATTATGCTAATTGGCAGAGAATCTCCTACTTATCTGATCAGGTACTCTAATCTGTATCTTAAGCCAAAACCTGTTACCACTGCTAGTTTGTCACCTAAGAACTTAACGATTTTTTTTGATATAGTGGTACTAGCTAATCTATTTGTATTTTTTTATATAATATATTATTAGAATCATATTACATAGGGCCCAGATGAGATCTACTTCTAACCATAGGTCTTGCATCATGTTACTAAAAGATATACCCCAATTTATATTAACTTTCAACTTAAACTCTCATCTATTGGTTGGTGTTGTATTATTATTAATATATTCTGGCTTCTTTTGTTATAGACTTTTATATAAAAATAATTAGAGCTCTAACTTGATATCTTTAGATATATTAGATTAGCTAGTTTGCCTCTATAAAATTATCTTCGCTAGTAGTTATTTCACAGTACCAGAGGTGCTTCCAATTCAAATAAGGTTAATCTTTTACTACAGCTCTTTTATATATCTGTTGCTTCTCTTATTACTCTAGTTTTGATAGTATTATA